CCCGAAACGGTGTGCCAAGCCCTGTACAGCCCGACCCGGCCCATCAGCAAGGAGCACGACAGGGCGTATTTTGAACGTAGTTTCAATCTGGGCTCGCCCATTTCTGCTGAATCATTCCCGACACCTGCTTCACTCTCCGGCCTGGATCACCTCCTGTACGCCCCGGTCGACTTGAAGATCGGCACGAGCAACAGCAGCCGAAGCGGTACGACCAGCATCAGTACCAGCAGCGGCACCAGCAGCGGCACCGGCGGCGGCGCGCTGCCCGCACTGAGCAATCGCGTCGCCGGCACCAAGAGACCGGCAGCCGACGGCACGGAGCGCAAATCCAAAGCCGCTCCCAAGAAACCCAAAGCCATCCGCAAGCTCAACTTCGAGGACGAGATGACCACCTCGCCCGTGCTGGGGCTCAAAATCAAAGAGGGTCCTGTGGAAGTGAAGCCCAGGGCACACGCGTCAGGAACCAACAAGCCTTTGGGGGAGTTCGTGTGTCAGCTCTGCAAGGAAGCCTACGCGGACCCCTTTTCCCTGGCCCAGCACAAATGCTCCCGCATCGTTCGGGTCGAGTATCGGTGCCCAGAGTGCGATAAGATGTTCAGCTGCCCCGCTAACCTCGCCTCGCATCGCCGCTGGCACAAGCCGAGAACCAGCGGCGCCCCAGCAATTCCGCCGCAGTCGACGCAGGGCACCAAACCCGAAATGGCCAAAATGGCACCCGCGGGTCTCAAATCAGCCTCCGAAGAAGCCAAAGACGCCAGCGACAGAGACACCCCGAGTCCGAGTCTGTCCGAGTCCGGTTCCGACGACGGTTCGTACGACTGCCACTTCTGCGGGAAGAGGTTCAAGCGCCAAGCATACCTAAGAAAACACATCATGGGACACCAGGTCGTGCAAAAGAAAGTTCTGGAGGACAACGGATTCCCGTTGGAGCAGGTGCCGCCACCTTCATCCTCGCCCGCCTCCTCCTCCTCCTCCTCCTCCCCAGAGGACGCCTCGAACCAAAGTCCCCTCAATCTGAGCCCCGCAGACCGCCTGCTGTGTCCCGTGTGCGGGGAGAGCTTCACCAGCAGGGCGGGCCAGGAGCGACACCTGCGCCTCATGCACTCGTCCCAAACGTACCCGTGCAAGTACTGCCCCGCCACCCTGTACAGCTCGCCGGGACTGACCAGGCACATAAACAAGTGCCACCCGTCGGAGAACCGCCAGGTGATCCTGCTCCAAATGCCCGTGCGGCCCGCCTGCTGAACGCAGAATTTGTGCCTTTGGACAAGGAGGAAGAAGAGAACCAACAACTCAAGGAAAGTTTGAGGGGGTTCAAAAGAAAAGAAAAGAAAAGAAAAGAAAACAACAAAATAAGTTTGTCAGTTCCAAGTGGTGTCTTTCCTCCCTTTATGCCAATCAGTGATTGTTGAGCGCTTCTCTTTCGATTTAAACGATATACACACATAGGCCTATTTTGAGACGTTCTTTTCTCAAATTAGTTTACGGAAAAGTTTAGTTTTGACTGTTAAAGGGTATTTTTTCTAGGACAGCACATGTACTCAATGATAGCTTCTAGACCTAAGAATTGTTCAGAAATCCGTCAAAGCCTTTCTTTCTTTTTCTAAAAACAAAAAAAAATGGATCACTGTAGCTTTGTTTATGAGAGACAAAATGATCACGTTTGTCTTAATAATGTGTGACTGAAGGATTGTCTGTTGAGTAGAGCCACAAATGCCTTTAGTCTATAGTCCGAAATAGCCTCCATCTCATCCAAATCCCGCTGTACAACTGCCTTAAAGAGTCAACATAGATTATTTTCATTTTGAACGCTGGCACATATTTTAATGCTATTATTATTATTATTATTATTATTACAATTGAAGATTGTTGCAATATTTTTGTTGTCATCATATGTTTGTTTATTTATTTATTTATTCTGATGATTTTATGTAACTTATTGATGTGATTGTTGTGATTTCCGCCCCCCTCTTTGTGAATCGTTCTGGCAGTTTACATGTCGTTTAGCCAAATTGACTGTTTTTTTTTTCTTGTCTAATTTATGAGTTGTGACAAGTGTCGTGGGTCGGGTTCTAATCATCGAGATCCACAACTCTTGTGAAAAGAAGAAAACAAAAAACACGAAGCTCTTAACTTAGATGCAATCTTTTTTAAGGATGTTATTTTTCCTAAATGTTGGCTTTTATAGCGCTTTGATTGTATGTGCATATTGTTGTTGTCTATCGAAATGATAATAAAAAAATATTTTCAAAATGACAGTTTTGTCTCATGGTGGTTTCACTTTCACAGAAATAACATTAGAACACATTCATTGAACGAAAAGAAATCATTTGTAAAATGAATGCACTACCATTTAGTGTTTAAAATGTGTATGGTTAGGAAAAGTATTTACGCATGCAGGTCACAACTACTTCTGGTATTATTTTAAAAGTTATCCACTCAGGTAACCTATAATTCACATTTTAAATAAATTAAAGACACTATATACACAATTCTAAGCATACATCTGGCTCCCAAAGTCAACTGGAAAACTTAAAACACACAAAACAAATACTGTAGTGCTGTATTTGTTGTAATGGGCCAGGACAACGAACACTCGGGGGCCGAAGCAAACAAAAAAAAAGTTTGATCCCCGCGTTGTAAATTGTATAGTTCTCGTGGCCCACTTCGTGTCTGATCAGAAATTTCCCCTCTCCCCCCAACATAACTGACAGAGGACACTTTTTTGAAAGTCATTCCTCATCGTTGAAGCAGTAAACCATCTCCCTGCTTCAGTAAAGTCAAGCCAGTTCACTTTTTACATTATTTTTGCTCCAGATTTATCAGGTCAAGTGACCCGCAGAAGCTTTAATCAGGCAACACTTCAGATATTATTGCGATCGTGACATTTGCTCCGGGTTGTGATTTATACCGCGCTCTGGAAGTGATCTGGTAGCTTCTCTTAAGTAAAAACAAAGCAGCGAGCAAGAGAGTTTGCGTGAAAATTGGGTCTTATGAGTGGGATAACGCCAGGCACACGCACTGCATCACCAAGAGTAAAAATAAGCAAATAATGATTAAGGACAGTTTGTTTAAAATGTAGTTCTCTGGTCTGTGTTTTATATTGTTTTTCGTTTTGATCCAATAATGACTTTCTGTTCGAACAGCAGCCAAGCGCCCCTCAGATTTTGAAATCTGTCACTCAAAGCAGAGGTAACACATCGCCATCACTTGCTAAAGATTGTTACACAACAGAGAAGCTATTTTGAAGTGTCTGTTTCTGTCACTTCTTCACTAATTTAGTGTTTTCAGACACTTTTAATTATGCGTGCAATTTTTCTTCGTCAGATTTATAAATTTAGCATGTGTCTGTTTCTACAAGTTATGACGATAAATGGCAGATCAAGTGAGAGATGACGAAGAAAATGCATTAGAACGGTGGATCTCAAGTTTTCCAAGCCCGCCCCCCCAAATATTAAAAAAATAACAAACGTATTAAACTTTTAATTTTTAAGAAACCACAATTCTTGCTCCAGTCCAAATTTACCTGCTTAAAAACATACCTCATCTATCATGAGCGTTTCGACTGCTCCTCCCTCCTTTTCCGCACGCATCGGAGATTAACATCTTCTTACTGCGCATAAAAACAAACTTTGTTGGCACCGTGGTGAGGAAAATGACACAGAAGCTACGGTCAGCGCTTTTAAAAAAATCGCTTCAAATGAAAGCCAAACTTGGATGACACATCCAACTATAAAGACATTCTCAAAACCCGTCTTCCAACTGAAACATAACCTTACCAATACATAACGCTGAAGATTAAACTGCGTCAAACATCAGGTAAAAAAAAAAAACAAAACAAAACACACACACATACACAATTTTTTTATTATCAGGCTTCCAACTGAATGGCAATGGATGTTGGGGAGCTTACATTTGCAAAAGTGTCTAACGTGAATGTCAGTGTCTCACCAGCTATGAACCTCACCCCACATCCACAGATGTTGTAATGTATAAAATCATAATGACAGAGAATGGCTCAGAGGAGCCAGGACGTACAGCCCTAAAAATCTCCTATCAAGGAGTGAAAATGAGGTAACATTAGGCTTCGTTCTCACACAAGTTTCAGGGCTCAAATTACGGTCAAGTGCTTTTCTGGCGTTTTTATGTGGAAAAAGGCGAGGCACGGCACCCGAAGGTGCTTGGCGCTTTTGCACCTGCACCTCCCAGTGAGGCTCCATTATGCAGGCCTCCTCTAAACGAGGTTGAGCAGCAGGGGAGACAGATGGGAGGAGGGTCAGGTTACCCCAGATACATAACGCTGAAGATTAAACTGCGTCAAACATCAGGTAAAAAAAAAAACAAAACAAAACACACACACATACACAATTTTTTTATTATCAGGCTTCCAACTGAATGGCAATGGATGTTGGGGAGCTTACATTTGCAAAAGTGTCTAACGTGAATGTCAGTGTCTCACCAGCTATGAACCTCACCCCACATCCACAGATGTTGTAATGTATAAAATCATAATGACAGAGAATGGCTCAGAGGAGCCAGGACGTACAGCCCTAAAAATCTCCTATCAAGGAGTGAAAATGAGGTAACATTAGGCTTCGTTCTCACACAAGTTTCAGGGCTCAAATTACGGTCAAGTGCTTTTCTGGCGTTTTTATGTGGAAAAAGGCGAGGCACGGCACCCGAAGGTGCTTGGCGCTTTTGCACCTGCACCTCCCAGTGAGGCTCCATTATGCAGGCCTCCTCTAAACGAGGTTGAGCAGCAGGGGAGACAGATGGGAGGAGGGTCAGGTTACCCCAGCACTAGCCAGGCCTGGCCCGGGTCACAAAGCCCACAGTAACGGCACTGCAACACACACACACACACACACACACACACACACACACACACACACACACACACACACACACACACACACACACACACACACACACACACCACTGACGGATCAAATCAGAGGTTACCTACCATCAGGAAGAAATCAAGGACAAACGCCATGCCATACAATTTCAAATTGCATTTAATGAAATGTTTCAATTTTCACATCTCTAATAAAAGATTGCGGATCATTAAAAACATGTGATATGTTGACAAAAGACGAAATCTTCAAGCTTTTTTTTGCCTTTAAATCCCCCTCTTGCTCTTATACAAAGAATATATTACTGGCATTTATCTATTTATATTAAGAAGGTGATCAAGCCCTCAGATTTGACACCGTGTACATACAAGAAACGCTCAAACACCCGCAATGACACACACACACTCACACACACAAAAAAATCACTATTGCTACAATCGTTAGATGTTTATTTTCAGTGACTTTATAGGGGAAGTAAAAACCCTTGACGGTGTCGGGATTTATACATTCTTCCTCTTCCAAATAGACAAAAAGCAGAAACACCTGGCCAGCTTCAAGTAGGTGCATGTTTGCATCCACCAGCAAGCAAACAAACATAGCTGGCGATGTGAGAGGAGGAGTGGAAAAGTAAGGCATCCGAACGCACCAGATGGGGATAAGCTTTGCAGCCTGGGTGGAGTCCTCAGAGGGTACCTACGTGTGTGTATGTGTGTGTGTGTGTGTGTGTGTGTGTGTGGGCAACACCTGGCTGCCATGGCAACCGGAGAGGTGAGAGCGCCAGCCAGGCTGTTGCTTGGAGGCCTCTGAGAGTTCACCTCAGGCATGCCACGCCAAACTCAAGCTTGTGGATCATGGGAACAAGGAGGAGCCACTTGATTCCATTTGCAGGCAAAGACAAGAGGGAGAAGCGCCGCACGTATAATTAAGAGGAGCAGCCATTCCAAATCCATCTGCTGTTGTTTTTGTTGCGGGTCGCGGGGGAGAGGGGAAAAACACGCGCGGCTAAAGAAGACAAGTCGAAGGGCGTTCCATGTTTTGTCTCAAACGGCCATGGGACAACATCAGAGCAGACAGACACTCCACAGGCAGTGTGAGGAACTGTCTCATCCATACACACACTCATCAGTGTATCAACTATAGAGCTATCGCCGACACAACAGTAGAAATAATTAATCAAATAGGACTCTCTATTTACATCTAAGAAACATACAAGAGAAAATAACATTTAAAGCAATATACGCCCCAGAGCATTCAATGCTAGTTGATCCAAGAGACAGAAAAAAAAACAAAACAAAAAATCAATGGCTTGAATGTTGGAATGTCGATGCCACAGGACAGGGAAACAAATGGAGGAGGAAAGAGACAGCAGGAACTTATTCAATTACCGGACACGAGCCCATGTTAACAACATCACAATGCAATTACAAACGCAGTCTTTTCTCATTCCAGCAGAGCTGCATAAATCAAATCATGGCACAATCCATTTGAATCTGTTTAAAAAAAGGAACCTTAGAGTGATTAAAAAAAAAAGAAGAAGAATCCAACAACTTTCAGTTCCACTCAAGTTAGAAAGATGTCACCGATTGTCCACTCTGGCTTCAAAAACAGCAAGTGCAGCTGCGACTTGTGCTGCAGCAAAGGGCGGCTACCAAACAGATGATTCAAAACTTGTGTTAGGGGCTCCCTACAATCAAGTAGCACCCTTTAACACAAATACAAAAAGAAGGTGGACGAAAGGCAGATAAAGGTTTTCAAAGGGAAGTCAGTATTTGGTAACTAATAGTCAACATAAGGGAGCGAAAGGTAAATTAAGTCTCCCGTTTCCTAGAAAGATTGGTTTCCTCAAATGCATTAGAGGACACAAGAGGAAAAAAAAATAAATGACACTGCTCGCTGTCAAAGTGGCTGAAACAGCTTCGGGCTAATGTTCTGCTTAAAGAGGAAACATCACAACAAAGTGAGTGATTGCCACTTAAATTCAAAATTGCATTGCCCAGTTACAGATTCATGTGCCACGAGCCAACAAAACAACAACAACAAAAACATGACACGGTTTCTTGCAGGCAGAGCTTCCAGGCTGCTTTTCAGCTCAATTGGACGATTTGCTTATTGCGCTAGCCGATCGGCGGAGTCTTCCTGAGACTCGGTTCCTGGCGGCCCGGGGCATGTTGGGGGAAACCTGGTCAACAGGGTTTGCCGATGTAGCGGCGGCGGAGGCGGATGAGGAGTAGGCGGAGGCTTCAGTGTTTGTGCTGCCGGAGAAGGAACCTGCAAGTGACATGTTTGGAAGGCAGAGAGCGTTAATTTTTTTTTTAAAAAAGCTGACAAAGCGACACAAACATGGTGCTGGCGGTGTGATTCTTATCTCGGAGGGCTTTTTCATGCATGCGGCCGCACCCTCAAACCAAAATGCCCCACTTGAACCACCGTTTGCAGCTAAAACATTGGTTCCCCGGTTTCAGTCGATAACATGAAGACATTAGGAAGTAAACACGGTGGAGCCTCCAAAGTCGAAAGCAATCTGTTTGGGGAGGCTGGTGGACATCCATTTTGTTTGAAATTTTACGGAAATAGAAAAAAAAATCCTTTCCAGAATTGCTATCATAATACATTTATTCACTTGAGAGGTCGTACTTCAAGTACTCGGCGCCCCCACTAGATAGCGGAATTTTAATACGAGTAAAGAACATTTTGGACAAACGAATGCTTCCATGTTAATTTTTTTGTACCGTAATTACTCTGCAATTCCAAATTACCGAATTACGTACCGACGTCAACTGTGAAGTTACAGCGGAATTAAGAGCAACAGGAAGAGGCCCTAAAATAATGTCCAGCAGTAGTCATCGTTCCTCCGGCGCAAAAAAAAAAAAAGAATATTTGCCCCCGAGTGTTGTCCATCCAATCGGATGTGTTGCTGCCGGGGGTTGAACGAAGCAAATTTTTTTGTAGTCGAATATAATGTGATGAAAGCTAAACCGAAGTCGATTAATCGATCGTAATATTTTTGCAGCGCAGTACAGCCGTTCCGATCTTTTTGTGCTTGTGGATAGATTTGCATATTTTGCAAGGGACGGTGACAGCGATCTCATTTTTGGTAAAATATTTCCACACGCTTGGGGGATGGTACGGCCACGTGATGTCCCATAACAAGTGTTACGACTTTTCATTATCGTTCATTTTTATTTCATTGTGACGTTTGTTTTTCGAATTCAGTGAGTTTCAATCAGTCTTTCGAGCGAGTTTTTTTTTTGGTTTGATTTGTTTGAATTTTAGTTTTAGTTTTTTTTATATATGGCGTATTTGTGGAGCACAAAAAAAACAAAAAAAAAACGTCCGTATTGTTACAACAAAGTAAACTAGAATTCCTAAATGACTATTTCACTTGTTTTCTTCAGAAATTATTACCGAAACAAATGCATTAAAAATAAACCTCAAAAGCTCATGTCTGAAATTAATTGACAAGGATGAAAACGATAATGACAGTTATTTTGAGGCTGCTTTATCAACACAAAATATAGTTTCAGTTCTGGTTATTTTCAAAGCAGTCTCATTTTGATTTCATGAACGTTTCATTTTAGTTTTACCTATCTTGCTAGTTTTCTTGAGCTATAATAACCTTGGTTGTGAAATGAAAACGTTTTTCTTATTACACTGTTTTTGCACGCACAGCACTGGGTATAACATGTTCATACGTGACATCATGTCAAGGTGACTTTGGATGAACAGCTTTCACGTTGTACAACTTTGAGGGGCTTTGGAGGTTCCACTGTAAACAATTTTTGAATGTTCATTCTATTTCACATGCTCAGGACAGTACAGGTCAGGAAAAAAGAAACTGGCTTCGAGATTGTCAAGATGCTGAAATGATAAGAAAAGGAAGAAACCATTGTTGCGACAGCTAAGGGAGAAAATAAAAAAGACATCAAGGTCTTGTTGTGGTTTGCCCCCAAAAGCCGCACATCAAGAATTATGGAACCGGCAGGGAGGTGGTCATGACATGTTGGCGAGGACAATCAAAAATTGTGAGCGACGGCCTGACTTCCTCAGTCAACCTGGAGCCCCCAGCCCGCCTTTTACCCCATGACGCAAGTTTAAACAACTCCTCGGCTTTGTTGGGAAAGCATCTGGTTGCCTATTTTCTTTCCCCATTCTTTTATTTGCTGCCGTTTTTTTTTTTTTTTGCAGAGTATCTCGAGTTGCAGCGGCTAAAAGGAATGGCAGATGGCTGGAGTAACAGACACTCAGCAGCACAGTGGACACCAGCAGCATCCAGAGGCCAGTGCTTTGGATAAAACAGTGGGTGTGTGAGGGGAGGTGTGTGTGTGGAGGGTCGGGGGTGTCCAAACATTCTCCAATCTGCATATGAATATGGAGGGAAAAAAAAGGGGATGGGTTCAGCTAAACATGGGGGCCGGCCTTATGGGCAGTTCATATCCTGCATTCCTGTATTATTCGACGCTAATTCCTACAGTAAACACTCATTACATGCTAAAATTGAATCGAGCACAAAGGCAAATGACAGACAGGAAGAAGTTTCATTAGTTTGTGATTGCGGTGCAGTTCACCCACTTAGCCTTCCCTATCCATTAAGTGGCCCATTAAAACATACCGCTCCAACCAGCAGTATATCTCACAATGTGCTGCTTATTTACTGCGGTGGCTTGTGTGGCCTTATTAAATAAGAATGAATTTTCATGTCAAAAAAGTTCCAGTGAGTCAGTGTTGTTGTCATTTAGAGCAGGCGATTGCTGACTGCTTCAGGTGGAAACAGCGGCGGGATGTCACAGAGGGGACGCCCCAAAAAAAAAAGAAAAGGGGGTCGCTTGGTGTCCCACCGGTGCCCTCGATGGCAGTTCAAACAAGGCTCCCTATGACAAAGACGTCTTCCAGTGTGGCAGGTGTTGGTCTCAGAGTCTGCCTCAGGCAAACAGGCACACTCCAACAGGAGGAAATTCAGGGGGAGGGGAGGCGGGTTTAAAAGAAAAGAGAAAAGCGTTTGCAGAGAAAAGAGATAAAAGGCGCTCGGCATGCAGAAGCAAGGGCCAGTAGTGGAGCCGTATTGTTCATGCTGCTACTTAGTCAGGTACTAATTGTCGCCACCGCGCTCAATTACCAGGCTGGCCTCGACAGGAGGACACCCAGCGAACAAACAGCCTGGTTTTTGTTGTCTGTCCCCTTTCCTTTGTCAGTGTGATCAGTAAATAAAGATTGGTTAGTGGTGGATGGGGAAAAAAAGAAAGGGGGCATGGTGGGGTTGAGTTACAACAGCCAGGATGCATGAATGAGCGAAGGGAGATGTTGCTCTAACCTGGGTGCTTACCTTCGTCACTTACAGTATTTGGACCTTTAAGATAAATTTAATCTAAAAAGGGAAAGAGAGTACAGCGTCACGTGAGACAGCAGTGGACAGACACACAAACACCACGGCACAGTGAACACAACACTGCTGAAAAGATGGTTGGACAGCATGTTTGGCATCCAGGTTAGTTGTCATTGGAAGGTCTGAGCATCAATCACTCAGGGTTAACTGAGTAGCTTTTTTTTTTTCCTCCGGTGAGATTTTAAAGACCATTAGGTCTGCTGTCCACAGGATAAAATCAGTGCCATTTTCAGCTCAAGCTGAACCGTGAGGCATGTCCAAAGTATGAACAGTGGCCAGTTCACAGGGTCGCAACGCAATTAGGAGCAACGCTCCTCAATACAAAACAATGTCTCCAGGCGTGTGAAGGCATCTCAGGCCGGGGCTTTGCATTCACTTTACTCACTGCTGAGATTATTGAAAATCGCTGGTGAATGATAAAAAATAAGACAATTAAAAAGTGCACAATGGATGGAATGTGGATGGACTAACTCATGCAAGAGGCCGTAATGCTATTTTCAAGTTTCAGGTTGGGGACTAGAAGAACTGTGGAGGTTGCTGACCCATCAGGATGGCACAAAAGCCAAGAAGGAGGCGGGGCTATGTAAGGCAACGTTAAAACCTCCACAGTGCAACGGCGAATCACTGCAGGGGCACTTGGCACATAGCATGCGGCATATGCACTTTCAGTGGACCCCTGCTAAGGGCTATGGCTAAATCATGCTGCACTCCCAGGGTGACCTAAACAAACATACAGATGTTAGTGGGCTGTGGCTGTGGCATCATGCCGAGTGTGGAGGAGGCAAAGCAAGAGTCTTACAGTCCAGTTTGGCCCAAGGGTATTCCATGTCCCAAACCATTCCCGGCCAACGCCTGCACGCTGTCACGAGGCATGGATGACATGTTAGTGGCAGCAATGGGAAGCAGACCAGCACGGAGGGAGGGACAGACGCACAGACAGACACGCATGCATGCACGCACGCACACTAACGGGGAGACACACAGACAGAGAGAAACGCAGGTCCACGCGCACAACAGGACAACAGAAGACAAAAATGTTTGACAGGCCTGTAAAATTTTGTTTTTAGTGACAAAGTTGTTGTTGGTAAATACTGTAGTGCACAGACAGACAGACAGACAGACACACACACACACACACACACACTACTTTTAGCCATTTCATTGGGATTTGTAAAAAAAAAAAAAAAAAAAAACATCAAGTGTTGCGCGGAGATTGAATAGCCTTGTGATATTAAAACCAGTATAAAATTTGGGACTTCACGAAAAAAAAAAGCAATCAACTTGAATCAATGTGGTGACAGAAAAGTGAATCTTGGGGTGGCAAAATAGTGTTTCGCAGGACAGCCTGTCGCCAATTTACTCATGAAAATATAAAAAGCACAAGCGCATATCACTTCATATTTTCCACCAGCTATTGAAAGCCATGGCTGCTGTCTCCCGGTTTGAATTGTCACCGTTTATAAAGGTGATTCATAGAGTTTAAAAAAATGTCAAATGTAAAAAAAAAAAAAAAAAGGTCTATGCCGTGCTATTGTATACTACGCTCCCTTCAGAATGCGCGTCAAGACCCAGTGGAGGAGAAAAGTGCAATCCTGTATTGATTTCTGTGCAGCTGTGGATCGATCAGTGCTGGTACAAATAGGAAGAACAAGATAAGGCATGCTTTTGATTCTATTCATCATGAAGTGATAAGAGTCCTGTGCTGACATCCGCGAGCTGCTGTTTGCCGGATGGATCCCTTAAGTGTTGGTGAATGATCTCATGGTGACACACACACACACACACACACACACACACACACACACACACACACACACACACTCTGAGAGCCGTTTAACATGGCTGCTTATATTCATGGGAAAGACATTGCAGCAAGTGGCTTGAGGAGCGTGTCTTTGAAGTCAGTGGAGAGCCAGGCCTGTTGTTTGATATTTAAGAGCAAAGGTGGAGGAATAGGAAAGGTGGAGATGATGAGTACAGGCAGGTGCGTTTCTCCTGCTGTGATCAATTTGGACAAGAGGCAAAAAAATAAATAAATAAATAAAAATAATAATGATGATAAGGAAGAAACAGGAATTGCATGGATGGGAAAACAAGAGCACAAAACGAGGAGACTGAAATGGAGGAAGTGCATTATGGGTGATTTCTCACCTGTCCCACTCGTTGGATAGCCAGGGGAGGGAGAGAACACCTGCGAGGCAAAGTCTTCAAATGTCATGACCTCTCTGTGATTCTGGACAATCGCTTCCAGGTAGAGCGCCCTCTCTTCATAGCTGGGTAACAATCATTAAGGAATATATAGTAGCAATGGAACCCCCCCCCCCCCCACCCCCACTCCCACCAATATAACCCATCCATCCATCCTTTTTCCGATCCGGCTATCCTCACAAGGGTTACAAGGGTGCTGGAGCCTATCACAGCCGTTGGGTTCGATTCCGGCGCTGGCCTTCCTGTGTGGAGTTTGCATGTTCTACCCGAGTTTGCATGTTCTACCCTTCCAAAAACATGCATGGCAGGCTGATTGAACACTCTAAATTGTCCCTAGGTGTGATTGTGAGCACGAATGGTTGTTCGTCTATGTGTGTCCTGCAATTGGCTGGCAACCATTTCAGGGTGTACCCCGGTTACTGCCCTAAGACAGCCGGGATAGGCTCCAGCATGCCCGCGACCCTTGTGATTAGGAAATTGAGGGATGGATGGATGGATGCATCAAGATGGCGGCAAAGCCCTACATGAAGCTCCTCAACTCACTTCAACATACTTCTTTGGCCCCACCACAGCAAAACTGACAACAAATTTATATATATACAAACCGAAAGGTGTATAAATAGATAATTACAGTACACATAAGGGTAAAAGTATTTGATGATATGTAGATTTCTTCCTTTTTTTTCGGTATTGGAAAATGATCAATACACATTATTGCACAACAAGGGTTAGGGCTAGATAAGTTGTATACTTCACCCTACTCCTTTGAACATATAACAGTGATGATGTTTGTATTACTTACTTTTATTTTTCCTTTTATAATTTTAGTTTGGATTTTGACAATCTGTTATTGTGTGTTTTACATATGTTCAATGAACAATAAACAAACAAACAAACAAACAAAAACTAATAGACCAGACAAAGCTTTGGCCTGAGGACAAAAACAGTGAATATGTGATTTTTCCAGTGAATAACAGAGGACAGATTTAAAAAAAACAAACAAATAAACAATAATAATAATAATAATTAAAAAAAACAGTAAATGGGTCAATCTGCAAATGGCAAGTAAGCGGGAATACTGCACATTAATTTTTGTACAGGCAGTTGTCCTATTCATCCTCAGTTTCTTAATCAGATGCTCTACACGGCACGTAGAAGCATGTGCAATGGTGTTCAAAACAATAACATACAAAGTATGTTTAATGTTATCTTTTGAACAATGCATTTTATTTATTCTTTTTAACTTCTACAGAAGTGCCAAGTGGGTCACAACTCGGTGACAATAGGAAAATGCAGGTCCCAGTGTGACAACAGATGAGAACTACAGCTCTAAGCAATTACCCCCCCCCCCCACTCCCCACTCGCCCAAATAGAACTCCAGCAGCAGGCAGCATGCCTACTACTACCCTCTCTGACACGCTGCTTGCTACTTCTGTGTCATCAGGGGGAAAATTGAAGCCATTTGAAATTCAGAGTGACAAGCAACGACTGGAGCCTGGGCAGGGAGTTAGCAAGACGGATGGCTGGATTTAAAATGACGGGAACAGTCCAAATAAATAAATGGGGCTGTGAAATGGCTGCGGGTGAGGGTGGAAAACAGTCCGACAGCCATTATCATGTCATTATTGAAGATGAAGTGTGCCAAATCTGTTGTGGAATGGAGGCTGGGTGGGCCTGCGTAAAATATGCTAAAGGAAACCACTGAAGTAAAAATGTCTTTCTGATGGTATTCAACAATGACTGATTATTGTCACCAGAGTCTGTTTACCACTATGTATCCTCCACTGACTATGTTAACAATCACACTTTCAGTATCAAACAGGGAAAGAGTTCAACAGCCCCTCCCCTACCCATCCCACTAGGAGAGCCCAGCGTGGGGTGGTGCTGGGCTGCAGCTAAAGCCAAGGATGAACCAGGTTGAGCTGAGATAGGTTGGACAGGGCCGAGGAGCTCCAGTCTGGGTTGGTTAGATAGGACGCGACAGTGACTGGGCAGGAGGCCTGCTGTGGGCACATGCCGCCACAGCGAGGGCCAAGGCAGCCATGACCAATGGCTTTGAGGAAACCATGGCAAAGTGGGGTTGACGGACAGCTGAGCCGGGACACTCCAACGGCTAAGATGGCCAAGCTGCTCAGAGGGATGGACAGGGGGTACAGAAAGACAAAAGCTAGTGTGAAAGAGGAAAGTGAGATCAAGTATGGTGGCATATCCCATTTACATTCAAATGAAAATGGTGATGATGAAAATAGTTATAATTCAAGAAGTATACTGATGTCCGAAATGGTTGAGCAGGACTTATTTGTGCAATTTTTATGGCACATGTATTTTCACGAGGCAGCACGGTGATCTCGTGGTTAGCACATCGGGCGAACAGTTCTCAGGTTTTGGGTTTTGGACTCACATGCAGGTACTATTTGGCTTCCACCTACATTCCCAAAACATGCACGTTACACTAACTGAAGAGTCTAAATTGTCCAGAGGTGTCAATGTGAACGAGGATGGCTGTTTGTTTGTGTCCTTGATTGACTGGCAACCAGTCCAAGGTGGACCATGCCTCTTCCCCAAAGTGAGCTGGGACAGACTCCAAATAACGCACGACCCAAATGGAGGATAAGCTCAAAAGAAAATTGCTATGTTTTAAGAGTTATGGGCTGAAGACCAAACAGGTGTCTGCATTACAACTCCGAACAACACAATGAGTAAGCATGTAAAAGCGCTCTTTCCCTCCTGTGCATTATATATATTGGTCTTGCAGGCATAACCTGATGCACTGCTTTCTGTCACAGCCTGGAAACAACGTTGGACAAAGAGTGGGGCATCCCAGGCATTGCTGCCATGGTAACCTGGGTCACAGCTCTGCATGGTGGGTCATTTGGAGGGTTTTACAGATGACAAAAGGAGAGAAATTATGTTTGTAAAAGAGTGCACAATTGTGTCCATTTCAGCGATAAGTGGAAGACAAACACGCGTGACGGAAGGAGTAAATGAAAAGAAATGAGAGAAGTTGAGAGTGAAGCCGACAAATGACGGGGAAGAAAGATGAGGAGAAAGACGAAGAACCTCAGCACATAGTGGGTCAACAGAGCCATATGGCCGTCCATTATCAGAGATGCAGATGACTGGAGGCCTGTTATTGAGATTCCTAAAGCAAATATTGACTCCAGCTGGAGCAGGCGCTCTTCTGACTCTGACACATGCCTCTTTTCCACTACTTAGTTCAGCGGCCCTCAATCTTAGTTAGACAAATGGATTCGTGTGGGTGAAGACATTTGATGAATAAAATGAGAATGTTCAAAAGACAGCAGTACATGACACGGGAGAGAAATGTGGCGAGGGGATGACTAATAAAAAGGTGTTTTCCAGAAGAGTGAACACACGAGTCGTCATCGGTTCACTTAAGTAAATGCACAATGCTATCTGTGGGTAAAAAATTGCGGCACAGAAATCAGGCTTGATGCATTGTGAGAGGTAATCTTACCTTCTTTTGCGCACGCTCTCACTCGATCACTCACTCACTCTCTCTCTCTCTCTCTCTCTCTCTCTCTCTCACTCTCTCTCACACACACACGCACACACACACATTCTCTCGCATGCTGCCGCCTCTTTCTGTTTATCTCTAATTACTAAGCCAGGGGTACAGCTTGTTCCCCTGCATATGCACACCCGCTGCTACCTCCATGCTGCAACTAGGGGCAATCAATCCCAGGACATATCCAGAACAGCAATCTAAAGATTATATGCATGTCAGGGGCACACAGTCCATAGTTAGTCACCTTTCAAGGAAAACATCAAGCCCTACAACTGCTGTAGAATAAAAATAATACACCATTGTGAAAAAAAGGTTAATCTGGAATTTTCTAAGGACTATTAAGCAAGCAACAAAAATATTAACGTGAAGGCTTTGTTTGTAATGTTCACAGATTTGAGTACATTTAACGCAGATATCTGCTCATTTGGATGAATACTGATTAAAGAGTAATAGGAATACATAAAAACAAATCAATCAAAATCAGTTGTGAGTGATGACAACATAATGTCGGCAAAATGCCAATCTGCCTGAGTCGGCCTATTAGCATATCAGTTGATGACAAAAGAGCCAGAGTAACTTTCAACGACTCAGAATGTCTTCAGCAGCCAGCATAGTGCTGCAACTTGCCTAAAGGTATGAACAAATTCCGGGAATCAGCCCCAATTCAGCAAAATAAGGCCGTCACAGCCAGCAACGTAGCAGGAGTGATCCCTGGAGTCACAAATTGCAAAGATAGGCAGAGGAACCCTACTTCACTCCTATCTATGCTAGGTTCTGTGAACTGTGATGTGAAAGCACTGCGGTGAATACAAGTGAAAGCAAGACATCGACAAGGCCAAGATAAGTAAATGCAAACACAAAAAAACGACTGCAGCGTATGATCCAGGGTCACTACGTGCTGCTCTCCTAAAATTTCACGTAACATTGAATATCTAAATATCATTGCTTTAACATTCTGGCACTTGGGGTAATGGGTTTTAACCTTCCTACCTCTGTCGTAAGACTGAAGAGGATGAAGGGAGGAATTTTTGGCCGGAATGGGGTTTCGAGTAATTCTAAACATGCTGAGGCACTGACGCACATTATGAAGCTAAAATGTGCTGGTAATTGAGAGATAGAGAGACCGGCCGGACCACAAAGGCATATGGGTCAACATGCGTTGACATACATATGCATTTTAGGATGTGCATGCGTGCTGCCCAGATGGCAGGAGGGCAGGCAGCTCTTGGGGGAAGCAAGGGTCAAGCATTTTGTGGATCAAAGCCAAGGTCAGGGCAACTGCAGAGGCCCAGGTTCAAGGTGAATGAAGGCCTCAGATGGCTCTTCATTAGCAGGCTGCTCTTTCTCGACTGGACCCCATCAGCCAAACGGCACCAAGCTTCATCACTCGCTCCATCTTTTCCCCGCCTTCCTGTCCATAGGGACCGGTCCTGAAAACAACTGTCCACTCGGATCCATTTTGGGCCTAGTCCAAACCCACCCATTGCGGCGGCCCTCTCTGCACAAGCTCACACACAGCCATTTGCGCATAAGTAG